CCTAATATAATCACTGATTTGGACACCTAAGACATTCCGCTAGATTACAGGACCTGGATAGTCTTATTACACCATACCATACTAGTATAATTCACTCGGTTTTAATTGCAATTAACGGAAACAATTGTCGTTTTTGCATTGTTAATATTTGTAAGCATTCATTAATATTCATTTTAATATTTCATTAATTATATTGTATTTATAAGTTATTATTTGACTTAATTTTGGGTAATACTGTATTAGTTTTTATATAAAATGTTTACAATAATAAACTGTACCAAATACTGTATTATATTTCATTTATATTATAAATTTTATGTAAATGTTCTCAAATATCTGGTGTTTAACAAGTTTTATGGATACTTTTGTTTGTACAGTAAGTTTTAGTAATGCTAAAAATATTTTAAAATGTTACTGTACTTTGTAATAGATTTATTTGCAATTAAACTTTTATTGAATTAAAATACAAATAAATCATAAAACTTATTAACACGTTATTAGCTGCCATTTGTTATACAACTTATTTGATTTGTTTGATCAAAGATAAGACAACGGAAGAATGCATTGTTTCCATTGCAATAATCGCTTACCTGTACAGCCATGCAATGATTGTACAATCATTGAAAACACATTGGTTTTGACAAACTGTGAAAAAGGCAACAAATCATAATAATGAATGTCATAATCGGTGTCTTCTACATGTGTCTCGCGAGTGTGCCGTTTGTGTCATCCGAGTCACCAGACGGGGCCAAACCTATTGAGCCGACTTGGGTGCCATCGCCACAACCAGACACCCAATGTTACCGAGAAAACAAGGTTCAAATGATCGCCTGTGTAGACGACGCGAACATTATACCAGGAAATTATTCCGACCACCGGTGCTGTCGTTTTTGGACGCCGGGGGACTGTCAGCTCAAAGTCGCTAAGGATAATAAGTGCAGTGAGGAAGACGTGGCTGTGATTGTGGACTATTGGGACAGAGGAGTGCTGCACGTGATCCGCACAAGTAGTTGTCATGTTAAGTATTACTCGCGTCACTATTGCTCACACCTTGAGGTGACCGGTGGTGCGAAAGGGTTGGCCGCTTGGGTCATCGCTGTCATTGTGATCGCATCGGTAGTGGTGGTGATGCTGATTGTGGCCCTCATTCTTGTCGTACGTTCTCAACGCACTCGACGGCCCGTCAACCGACGCCAGAAGTGAACCCACTCGTCACCAGCGCCTCAATGAACACGCTATAAGGCTAGGGATAGGTATATGATCTCAGTTGATAATTAACACCTAATCACAGCTAACTTCTCATTTACCTATTATTTCCACATTTTTTCGCTTATTTTTTTGGACTCATTTTTTGAAAATGAGACAATTGTACGTGTAATGTACGGCAATGTAATGATTTTTGTAACTATTTTTGTGTAATAAAGTATTTCGTGTAACCTTTTCATTTAATTTCATGTATTAATTGTATCGTCACTTGATTCAAGTGCTAAATTAGTTGACAAAAGTTTAGTCAATACTTTGCACTTAAGACAATAGATGTCTTCCCAATTGACATCAAACTCGGCGCAGAGATTGCATTGAATTCAATATTAATAATATAAAAAATGATTAAAACTTTTGAAACTATTATACTTACGGTAAGAGTTTTAAATCATAAATAAATCAAAACAGGTTTTAAATATCCATTTAATTAGTGCTATGATTGAGTGAATGAATGTATAGTGAGTTACGGCAACGAGTGCTTCATATGCACAGCAATAGTGACTACAAAAAGGGCACAAAACCTATCGTCCAATGAATGCCTGAAACAGTGTTACAAAGCATTGAGTCTTTGATTGAAAAATAAAGCGCTTTTCAAACGGAATCCACGAATGCTTTGCATTTACCGTCAGATTCCGGGTCTTGTGAACCGATTCCGGGTTTTAGTCCACAATTAGCTATGAATTCGTGATTAATATTAACAATGAGTCTCACATTCAATGCATTTGTCGTCCACTTAGCGCTCATTTGGTGTCAATTCATAACTCGTTTGCAATGTTTTGATGAAAACGTTTGGCAGACGTATGACAAGAGCGCAGATAATGGACACCAATTCGGACACAAGTCGTCGCAAGAGTTGTACGAATCGGGCAAACAGTTCCTCGAAGTGATGGTCAGACAGGAGACAATGTATGGCAACTGTTGGCGAAACGCCATCCAAGCGCTGGACACCAGTTGCAAGCGATTGGACGAAGAGGTTCAGAGCCGACTGGCCCTCAGTTTCGCCAATTGCTTCCTCGAGAGGTCCGGTATGAAGACATACCCGTGCGATGAGCGCCAGGACATGAAGACGTGTCTCCAACGCATGGACGACCGCGCCTTCAACTCGTACACCGAGTTCTTCACACATACGCAGAGCGTCTGCTTTTATCTTCAGTCGGAGTTCTGGCAGCAGAAGACGGAATCAACGGTCGATCGGTTGACACAAACGTCACATGAGGTGAAGAACCGACTCGAAGACGCCTCACAGCAGTTGAATGAGTTGAACGGTTTGCAGGAGTTGTCCATCACTTCCCAACTGAGACTCAACGACGAGCTGATGGCCGCCAAGAACGCGATGAATGAGTTTAAGGCCTCTTCGGCTGAACAGCGGTTTATTGTCCGAGAAATTCTCGACCGATTCATACGACTGCAGGACTTTGTCTTACTGGAGATGTCTTACGGCTATTCCATTGTCTTCTTCGTGGTCTCAATGATAATCGTATACTTCATGACAACCCCTGTCCGCACAAATGAGGCCCGACTCTGGCTTTTCGTCGCTTTGATAATCAATTTATTCGTTGAACGACTCATCGCTTCGTATTCATTGGACGACCAGTTGATGGGTCTGAAGAGCACATCCATTGTCATGAATGAGAGGATTTGGTTGTCCAGAAAAGTCACGTTAATCCTTATGGCCGCTATTTTCGTGTGGTTTGCCATCACTTACAAAAACTATGGTTATGTTAACCACAGTATTCTCAATGAACACACTTTACGTCTGAATCTCATTCAGAGTCAATTGAATCAGATCTGCAAAACAGGTATTCATTCAAATCCTATGCTTTTTGATGTATTCATTAATTGTTGTCTTAATCTTTAGTCGACTCATCGCCTCAGAAGTCAGTGGAATGTGTGGACAAACGGGACAAAGAATATTCATCTGATAGTGACAGCGATTTTATGGCAGATTCTGGGAATAGTAGTGATGATAGCGATGTCAGCGAGGCTTCCATAGAGACCTGTTCTACCATCGAAATTGTCTCCTCGAGTACTACTAAACGTAATGATAATGACATGAATTTAGGCAATTCATCGAATGGCGAGACCCCGACCCCTCCTTTGCTCACTCTAAGCCCCTCTTACAACCTGAGGCCGAGAAAGAGTATTATTTATACTAAAAACGGGATTATCAACGAAACCGTCGATGACTTTATGGCAAAAGTAGAACTTTCGGCAAATATTTCGAAATTCAAGTCTCAAAGTATTCATCCGAATGTCAAGAATTTTTTGTCTTCAGATGAAGACTAAAAGAAAATGTTTTAAGTCTTGATTTATAATACACTTTAAGTACAACCACTTTAGAGTTTTACCGGTATTTATGAATTTGTTTTCAATTAATTGTAAATAACTTTTAATGTTTAATTTTTAATGTTTAAAATACTTTTTAACTTGATTTTATTTTGCCTAATACTTAATGTATAAAAAATATGAATTTGTAAAAAACAATTGAGTTTTGTATTACTGTAATAAAATTGTCATTTGTTGTATAAAAATATAAATTTGTATAATTAATTTGACAATCAATGAAATTATTGAGATCTCCAAACGACTGTCAATTTTAGAGAATAGAGACCAGAGTTGACAACAATTGAATCATCAGATTGTTTCCCTTTTATAATATCATTGATTTTAATCAAACCAATTGTTGTAGACTTTTGGGAATTATTGATAACTTCTAGTTTGAGCACATGTTGACCATCGATGACTTCATGGGTAATGTATTCAAGTATTTGTTGATTATTTGTTGAGTTCTTGACGGCGATAAGTGGCACAAAATTATTGTTTAGACCGCAATATATGTTGAGTTTGTGATCGGAATTAAAGTTATTCACAAAAATAGTCGCTTTTCCTGATGTGCGCTGAATTTGTCTCACATTTGTATCTCTAGTTTTCGTACCAAACTTGCCATTAAAATCAAAATCATTGTCTTTATATTTGGCTAAGAAGTAGGTGCCGTGAAATGCAACCAAACTGATGACAGCAATCGTGAGTATGATTGCAATATATTTGCAAAACTTTTTGATTTCATTACTTTTAATCTCAATAGCATTGGGCGAAACACTTTCACCGCTGATTTGATTCATCTCTAAATTATCCATAATTTGTGTAAAAATCCTTTGCAACTGAAAATATGTAAACAATTTATTACACAGTATTATGAAATTGGAAATTTATAAAAATGACATAATTGTTAAACAAATTGTGATATACAAATATGAATTACTGGATGCGATAACAAATTATGAATTCACTGCAGTGTAGTCTATGTTTAAAAGTTTAAAAACATATTCCGATATTTGATTCAACATTTTATGAGATAATCAGACCTCAAACTAAAGGTCAGAATCGCTATGATATCTAATTTAAACAAAATAGTGATAAATAAGAGCTGAATTTTGAATAGATTAGTGAAACAGGCGTTTCATTTATTAGAAAGTAGTCAAACTTTTTGTATATTCAGGAAATATTATTTCAATGTTGAATAATGTTTAGGAACTTTTGTATTTTGTGAAATTTGAATCACAAAAATATGAATATGAATCTTTATGTCAAACATTGCTATCAAATAACTGTTAAATGTGATACTCTAATAGTTTTACTAAAATCAAAGTCAAGTTTGATTCTTATAAAGTTGCAAAACATTAATGCACGTACACGACTTAAAAAATGAAATAAATTCATGAATAAAATATCTGTGCCAATTTATATCAACATCCAATTATGCAAAACTTTACGGTAATAAGCTTTTCCTGTTAATATCTTACTTTTATGGTATAAATTGCATTTACCAGGATCAGCATTATGCTATTCTATAATTTTTTTTGGATATGGTATTAAACTCCAATACTAATGGATGTTTTAAATACTTAGACTTATCTCCAAAAGTTGTAATTCAAATAAACAGCCAATTAAATAATTAAACTCATAACCAATAATTTATTGAAAGTATGATTTAAACAAATCTCTTTTAATATTTTAAGAAATAATAACATTTACACAATTAAATGCCAAAAATATTAAACTATCTTCAAATGAATGTTCAAAACTAATAAAAACAACAAATATTCAAGAATTAAAAATAATTAAAAATAATTTTCACATTCAATGACCAAATGATAATAACTATTATTCCTTTTATACAATAAATTTTGTAATAAAATAAATAATTTGTTTGGAATGAGACATGAATTAAATACCGATACTATCGTATGACATGAGCAACGAATTGATTGATTACATAGACTTTAATAAGTAATTTCAATTTGTATTTCAAATATAAATATATAATTTATATATAATATTTATCGTATAATTTATACTTGTTTTGCAATTTTATAAACTTTTATAATATTTATATATTTATATCAAAGTAAGAATTGCACCAAAAATCTATATTTAAAATTATGATTATCTTCGTGGTCACGAAATGATGTATTTTTTCCATTAAAATTGTCTATACTTTAAGCGAAATGAGAAACATTTAATGTGTTTATAAGAAAATAAATGGCACTATATTTAAGTGACAACAGATTATTAACATATAGATTAACACTTATTATTAATCTAGAAATTCGACATAATTTTCGGGGATCAGACCAGTCTTGCCGTTGAGGCAGCCCTCGAGCCAACCGGGTTCTCGTGACTGACGCACTGCACAGACAAACAAACGGTTCATTAGTAAAAAGTGGTCAAAAATATGGTGAAAAGGGGACAAACCGTTTGTGATAATCATGTTTGGCTCGAAGGAGAGCTCGGAATCATTTTCGCCGACACAGGCATAACGCGTGCGAACCTTACGGAAGTTGATGGGAATGTTCTGCACGGACGGCGCGCTTATTATCTGTTGTCTGTAGTTATAAAAACTCTTTGTATTGGGATAAGTGTTGGGCGGAGAGGTGTTGTTGTTTGGACTCGTATTCTGGACTTGCGATGACTGCGTGTAAGTATTGAGGAGCGAGTCGGCGCTGCCGGAGCTGGCAGTGGGACTCTTCTCCTTATGGTTATTGTCAATCATTTGGTGCATCTGCGGAGAGCCGGTGCCCAACGCCACCACATTTGGCGGACCATTCCATTGGTTGTAGATAGCGATGGGTCGGACGGCTCGCTGTAGTGACTGTTGTTGCGGACCATTCGTCGGGTACTGAACGTAATGCTGTTGAGGAAGGCTTTGTATGGATTGAGCGTACGTTAGAGTGTTGGGCGGCGGCGGGAACGACGCCGTCATCTGATGGCTCGCGTGCGACAAACTGTGCTGATATAGAGGGCGCCGGTACTGGTGCTGAAGCATCGGATTCGTCATAACCATCAACTGGTCCTGACTTGTGCTCCGAGTGGGTCCTCCTCTGATCTGAGCGTATGTCGAGTTATTGTCGTACTGTAGGCGTCCATAGAGTGGACTATTATTAGCACCCATTGGCGTGACGTAAGCGCTGGCATTCATGGGTGTGATCGCACCCGAAGGAGAACTTCTTTGTAGGGTTTGAAAGCCATTCTCAGGCTTTGTGCCGAAAATCTATTCAAACAAACATTAAATTTATAACAAATATGACAAACAATTTCCATTCCAAGCAAACCTTATCACAGTTTTCAATGAGAAGCTCGACGACAACGTTACCAAACTTTATGTCCATAATCGCTGCCACCGTTTCCTCTTCGGGTCGTAACAGTGTTGGACCGAAACAGACGCCTAAATTCGAAACTGTCATCAAATTCTTCTCGCAATGGTTTGCAACTCTAGATAAACAACAAAACCACTTGTTTTAGAAAATAATCAAAATACAGGTATAAATTCAAATTCAATGGGACGGCCACTCACTTGCATAGGTGTTTGACCAGAAGCTCAAGCATTTCTAAGTTAAGAGCCGGTAGTTTATGGACTAAGCAGTGGATCGCTTCAATCCTCTGTACTTTGTTTTCGTGCTCTAAAAATTCAATTATAGGTAATAATTAGTGTTTCGATATATGAGACAAAAACTTCAAATCAATTACTGGCGGCGGCTATGAATGCAATGTGAAGTCTGAATGTCATGAGAGGTTCCGGTAAATTACGGAAATATGTCTTCAGAGCACTCGTTATTGTCTTTGTTTCCCATTCATCAGTGCTGTCAAAGTCGTAGATCTCGTTATTGTCACTAATTTTTCTCCTGTCGAGACATAACTGAATCAAACGATTCACTTTGGAGGCGACGCCCACTACACGATAGAGGCCCTGATCTTCCAGACCTCTCTTCTCTATAACGTGAATACACTTCTGGACGAAAGTGAAGCCCAAATCATCCAAATGGCAATCTTCTTGTTGTTGAGGTAATGGTTTGCCGGCAAGCGTTGGATTCAATTGGATGGGCTCTTTGCCATCCATGGCGTCCAACCAGAGTTTACGGTCCTCTTCGGACAGCGCCTGAAATGTGTACAAACAGTTGGGTTTCTCCACAGGGATTATGTCGAAACAGAATCGCTTGTCAATCGAGTCAGACATTCGGCGAATGCATTCCTTAAGAGTGATCTCTTCTGTCGATATCTATAAGACAAGAATCAATGAAATGCCAAACCATTGCAATAAATGGGAAGCAGTCCTACGATTTTGGCGATGGTCTGGTTGTACTGAATCATTGTAAACCGTTTGTTCTCTTTGTCGTATTGGCAGAAGTGTTTGGCCCAAGACGTCCCGAACGCCTCTACACATCATTACAGATCACAAAACAATTAATTCATTCAAAACATCACTTCTTTCGCAGAGAAAACAGAAAGTTTTTATAAGAAAAGCACTCAATGTCTCGACAAAACACACTTCAATTATCGCATAAATTATGCGTTCAATTGAAGTCTTGAGTCACGAATTACTGAATGGCTTAAATGAATGCTAGAAATGTTAAATGTTTGCGTGTTTTCCTTCAAAAACTTATATTAATTGAATAAAATGTGAAACGAGCGGAAAGTATGATTAGTTGATGGGTTTGAGTGCTTACTCTTTTCCATTAGAAACAGATATCCCTGTCGTGTATACATTTTGTTTAGTGAACCCGAGTCCTGAAGTTTCTAAAAATACATTTTAAACGTTTAGTTAATACACTTTTAAACAAAATAAAACATCAAAATAAAACCAAAATATTTTGGTTTACAAAACATGGGGTAATTAAAAAATAAAAGTTAAATAAAACAAAAACTGTTTTGTGATCTAAAATTTAAAACTATACCGAAAATAGGAGAACGGAAGTCAAAAATACATACATTTTTTCTCACTTCAAGCATTTTGTTCATAAGTGATTCCGTTTCGTTTTGTGTGGTCTCATAATTAGCTCGAGTCTAGCCATACAATCAATAATTAATTTCTACTTTCAATTAAAGGTATGAATGAAAAGCGAAAAACTACTCACTCTTTGCAATCGTATTTGTAGATCAGTTATAATTGATTTGAATTCTTTGGCGACTTCATGACCTGTTTAGCCACACATTTAGAACATTTACATCTCAATCACCAAGGTTTACAAATAGGAGTAAAATTCACACATACCCTGGTGATAGAATGTGAGCCATCCATACATAAAACTAAGCACCTGTTCATCACAAATAAAAAAACAAGAAAAGTGTCACAAAAAACATATACCGAGAAAACGGGTGACTCAGGGAATGGTAGGGAACAAGTGATCACCGTTTCGACGAATTCAAACTTCTTGCGTTCGTTGACTTCTTGTAACTTAAGTACGTATTCGGAGGAGGCCTGGAAGAAGTGTCTTTGCTCCATCTCTAGACTGGCATCAGCCTAACCATCCATACAATACATCAACACATCGTTACAACAGAATCTCATTTAGCGTTCAAATATGATTTAATACGAAAAACACATTCAAAACAACAACAAAAAATCAATTCTTCAAATCATATGACAGACATTGAAACAGAAATCACGCAAAATAAGCGAATAATTAGTGATAATTAAAGATTTCTATTTACGCCAAAAGCGAACTGATGTCAGGCATCGTTAGAGCGCGAGAATAAAGTTCTTCGCACCAGAATCAGGGCTAAGAAAGTCTACAGAATATCCTCCAACTATGGGATCAGTTTGGAAAATGGGTGTTAAGAGTGATTAGTAGTGTTTTGCAGTTATAAGTATCAATATAATAGAGATGTACAATACATGGACAGAAAATGAGAAAAACATTATTAAATGCAAGGAATGTGTTGAACACACAATGAATGGTTGAGTCAAACACACAGATATTGATCCAAAATATTAGTGACAAATCATGACATATGGGGCGCAGAATCGAAACTATGTATTGATTTTTGACTACTTCTTTCCCTCTGACACCACATGAGAGGGTCTTAAGCATTAAATCCACGAAATAAATGACAGGCAATGACTCAATACATATAGAAAGTGAGATAATATACGGAACCTCTTGTAAGTGATTCTCGCTCTTCTTTGTCGACAAATTCAAATGCCGTTCCAATGACTGACAGAAACGAGTGGTCTCTTTGTCGAACTTCTTCTTCACTTCCTATGGCATCCGACACGAGAAACAACACTCACTTCAGTCACAATGAAAACGAGAAAAAAGTTTTTTGTTTCGCTTTCAGAGGCGCAACCACTGAAAGCGACAAATCAAAGGGATTTGTGTCCAAACCTTTGCGCCGCCGATCTGTTCGCGTCTGAACTTCTCGATGGGTTCGATGAATGTGGCGCTCGCTCTCTCCAGCTGTCATCACCACCGATGAGATAATTGGGTTCAATTAGAATCAGTCCATACCTCACATCCCATACCCCATACGTACCATTCGGTCCCTTTCGTCCTCAATGGTGGACAACAAGCGGCCGAACTCTTTGAGGGAACCGGCTTTGGGTGTCGGGAGAGAAATGGCAGACATTTTAGTATGACATCAATTGCGAATCAAATCATATGACAAACCGATGACTATCTCATCGTCGGTCTGACTGCTGCCGATGCACTCGAAGCTGAAGTTACTTAAGGTGTCGGCGACCGAGCGCTGGACACGCGATAAGTCTTCGCGACGTAAGACATAACGAAATGAAATGACAATTAGTTTTACTGATTATAGCGCCTATGGTTTGGGACAGGGATTGGCGACTGACTTCTGGCGGCAGTGAGCAGATCCTTGACTTCTTTGATGAGAGCCTTGATGGCGGAGTTCATGCGATCCAACTCTCGCTCGTGGGTCTGAATCTTCTCCCGAAAGTACGGCGAATCCGTGAGACCGTCGGTGAACTCCAGCGGCAGTAAACCCATCGTTTTCATTGATAGTATCACTCAATGGAACCGATTATCACTCGATTTGAACGTCTTAGCAATTGGTCCACGAAATGGTACAACCGCTCAACATATGAGGTGATAGTGTTTGAGACAATTGCAGACAATTTCAGACAATTTGCAGACAATTGGCGGTCGGGTTGACGAGCGACTAATAGGTGTATCAATAGGTGGGACTAATCGGTGGTAATTTGATCTCTGGTGGGGTTTTGATCATCGATTTGTTTGTGGTATTTATGTCACAAAATAAAAAATATAATCATAAAACAAATGATAATTACAAAACAATAATGAAAACAAAAATCAAACAAATAATGAATAATTAAAGCAAATGATGAAAACGGTGTAAAACTGAGCGAAACATTGAGTGGTTTTTGATTGAAATTCAGTGTAAATATTGTAATGTTTTTTCGTCCAAAGACTGTGCGATTGGATTGACATCCGAGACATCAATGATAAGGCATTTGCTATGAATAACAAGGCATCCGATTGTATGACACAAACCACTGATAAATCTCTATGTATTTCAATGAGTGGTGGGTTTGTAATGATAACTACAGTGCAAACTCCTATACGAGTTGAGCACTAATAAGACGATTGAGTTAACATTAAGAGTGCTATTAAATAATGACAGCAATTGTGAGCGAAAAATGGTTTGTTTGGTGTTGTGTTTGCTATGCTATGAGCGCCTGTAGTATGCCTTCACAGCGATGTTGTCTGTAATGCATATGAATTGCTAAATATCGCTGCAAACGGTCTCTCAGCGAAAAAAGTTATCATCAAATTGTATGACTGTTTCAAAATGTTTCCAATACTACCAGTCCCTCCCAATCACTCACGCACCCATATGTTAGCAAACAATTTCCATGTTAACAACACTGTCATTGTCTCTCTAAACTCGGTGTGTATTTAACGCCAAATACGATGAAAAGCACGACAAGTGCTTCAAAATTAGCTACAATTCAAAAATCAATGCCTAAAACAACACGATATGTGTATTGCTGTGTCCTATCTCCAGCTCAGTAACGATACGCAGGTTTCACTGCTTTTCACCAAACATTGCATTTCATGGCGTATTGTATGTACTCTACGGAGCGCTCACTGCACACAATGCGAGGCACAGGGAGGCTATGGGAGAGACGTGTCTTCAGTTCAGTAGCACTTCCAGCCCAATGCTACTCCCTATGGACTATCACTGAGCACTCATGAGTCATGGATATCCCATACGAGCCACCAGATAGTGACCACATTTGCTGCACATTCACACAATTGCTCGCATATCACAAACCATTAACTATGAAATAAAAACTCCCGGTGCTCTAACCTAACAGAGCGCTTACTGTTACTCTAATTTATTCCCTCTTTTCAATCAAATCTGATTATTCATTAATGAGTTGTAATTATTTTGTAGTCTAAACTTATTTTCATACAAAACATAGTAATCTGATTGTAATCGCAAAAAATACTGCTTTTTGTTATAAGAAAGGAAATTAACTGCAAAAAAGTTTTTTCTCAAACGATATGTTTTGGGATAATTTGTATTCTCGATTAGATTGACGTGAATTGAGTGTTTCGTGTGACAAATGGGACAACATTTTAAGCACACATTTGGTTAAATAGTTTGAAATATAATTAACGACTGGATGTGTCGACAAAGTTGACGACAATTTATGCCTCGTTTTATTGTCACTCAAATCAAAGAAACAATTTATGGCTTCAAACTAAACGCCGATTTGAAACCGGAGTTTATTTTTAGAGATATGACTACCGTATTAATACTACTGCCAGTGTTTGGGTCCATTGGTGTGACCTCTCACTCCCTGTCCATAATTAGCATAAATGTTATATTCATGTCCCAAAACAAAAGATTATTTGCATTGAAATATGAAACCAAAAAAAAGAAATAATAATTTTTTGAAACCAATTAATTAATTATATTCTCATTAAAGTGCAATTCATTTGAAAGTGAATTCACTTTAATTGATAAACTGATGAAAAACAGTGATTACGCGACAAAATGTTTGGCAAATACTGTATACAGTGTCTGAGAAATATATCGATCGATCATTGGGTCAAATGATTGCATAACAACTGATAAGTAAAATATTGGGATTCACTATAAGATGTGCTGCTATTCCCTCTCCATTTGCTCCGCATTTATATTGCATTTGAATTTCAATTCAATTAACACTATTTGAAGCCAACATCATATTACACACTATGTTTATATAGTATATCATATATGATGGCTTTGTTTAGACCATTGGTGTGAATGAATTGATGGCAAAATGAAGACAAAAGAGGCATAAGAGGAGTAGAAATGTTCAAACATATGATAGTTGGCCACCACTTCTAGCATAGAGCAAGCCATACGTACAGAGATGTGTCACACTGCAGCAAAGCAATGCATAGCCATTCCCATAGCTATACAGCGCTCATTGTCTGTGTTTAGTATTAGTTCTTTCATTTAATGTCTTGTATTCAATGTATTGAATGGCTATTAATGTGTCAAATAAGTGGATTTAATAGTCGGAGTGAATGTGAGACGAGTTGTGAGACAATACGAGCACTCAATTGAACGGCAATCGTATCGTTTAGTTTACAAACACGAGTCGTGCGCTGCCGTGAAGTCGACTCCACTTTTCGCCTCACATTTGACGGCATTTTTGTGAACCAAATATAGGACTCGACTCTAACTCTGAAAACTATTATTGCATTCATATTAGGCATTGATTTGCGGCTAAATCGCGGGCATTGGCGTGCGATTAGTGTCAAAGTTTGCACAATCAGTGCCCAAAAGATTGTTTGTCAAGTGTCTCAGAGTGGGACCCAAAGCAACAGCCGATGTATGCTTTGATGTGATGTCTGTCTGTGTCTATGGGTTCGCTTTCCAACACACCATAGGCTCAGAGCATAGGCTGAGGTGCGAAGAGAGCGCCACTACTGAGCAGTGCTTTCAATGCGTGCTATACTTCGACGCACTTTCACTCTATCACTGATTTATGTCACAAAAACTCATCATTTGGAGACTCATTGGGGGCCATTTGGGTCGCAAATGGTCGGCAAGTGTGTTAAAAAGCATATCCACGGCATGGACTGGGATTACTCGGGCCGGTGATGCCGTGGCGAGGGGTTGAGTGCGCGGAGTGTCTGTGCGCTTGAATTTGGCGCCACTTTCTCTCCATTTTCTATTTGTTTCGATGCATTCATTAGTCTATTGTCTGCGAAACGTGTCTTCACAGCCAAATGCGTAGAAGCAGTGCGTGTCC